TGACGTACCTCCGAGTAATGACCAATCCGCTGTGGTCATCTCTGTCGTGGTGGTCGGCATCGGTGTTGTCCAGTCTGATACATTGGTTGCGTGAAGACTGACCAGGGAGCTGTTGAGCCAAATAATAGTCTGTCCTATTTTTCTGAGGTCGACCCCTTTAGTTACATTAGTCTTGGGGCCGCGTACTCTGATGGTGTCTTCCACCATTTGTGGTAAATCTGCAGCGTCGTCAGTGCCGCGAAAGATGAGAACTACTCTCACGGAAGATGTGTCCTTGCTGGAAATTGAGAAGAAAAAAAAAAAAAGGAAAATAAATTTGATTGTTTAAAGCGAAAGAAAACTACGTTAATTTTTAAAAATCAGGCACAGGACAGGAAAATGATAAGTGTTCTTTTTTTTTTCTGCAATTGGGAAAATTGTACCACGTGGTATGCGCGCATGCTCTTTAACTTTTTATGTTCAGTAGTCCTTTTCTTTTTTTTTTCTTTTTTTTTTTTTGATAACAATGTTCACCCTGTCAGATTAGTTGCATTCACTTACGCACCCCAGGGGGGGGAATTAGAAACCATCTCCTCTTAAGGTACGGTTTGATGAGCATGACCGGCTAGGTGAGGCATGGGCAACATTTCTCAAACAGTAGGTCGCATGAGACACTATTCATCATAATGCTGGCCGCACAACTAAACATATTTTTTATTACAGACACTGGAGCCATTTTGACAACCAAAGAGCATGCGCATCAGCCTTAGAAATGGAGAAAACTTGATTTTTTTTGTAGAGAAAAGATTCCTTCTATCATTTAAAAAAGAAAAAAAAACGTCCTGATAAAATATTATAACTGACTAGCAGTAGAGCCCGGCGTTGCCCTAGGATGTAACAGTAAGAGATAGATCAAGTATCGACCATCATAAAGACTGAAAAATAAAATTGACAAAGATTATTGTTTAAGGTTGACGGACACGCATGTCTTAATTAGTTTTTTTTTTTTTTTTACGAATTGGTCAAACCCAAACTCAAACAAAAACATTGTTTTCAATCATTATGAGTCTACCGATTGAATAGAACAATTGTCTTGTAAATGGAATTTTTAAAGCATTCTGAATGTAAAAATAAAGAAAAAAGTGTGCAAGACAATAAGAAACACTACTTGCCAAAAAAAAAGTGAATTTTTGTTGAAATCGGTTGAAAAATGTAGGAAATCCGATCCCATAAACACACACACACACAAACAAAAAAAACAGCCTGGGTTTTATAATAAGTATAAATCGATATAAGTAGTCCCCCTTTCATTAATGCCTCTTAATCGTGTTTTCAAATTGATTTCATATAAAAACAATTGTCTTTTTCCAATTTTTGGCGCTGTCAGAACCACCGCAAGGTAATTTTACGTAGTCCTGTGAAGTTTTGTTGAAATCGGTTGAAAAATGTAGGAAATACGATCCAATATATAAACGAACAGACACACACACACACAATCTACGTTTTATAAGTAAGATGACAGAGTGATTAACACACACTGCTGTTTCATTTATTTCTTATTTATTCATTTGGTAATGAAAAAACATTTTTTAAAAGAAGTATATTTATTCTCTAGAGAAAATTAATGTTTCCGATTTCTTATGCAAAATCTGTTTACACTTACGATCTTCCTTAGTGAAAATCGCCAATGGTTTCAAATGATGACAACGATACATTCATCGAAATGTTACAAAATTCAAAACACATTGTACGTAATAATTGTATATGTACGTGGCTATGCATCATTGAATAAGTGAGAAAGAAAGATAATAACCATTTTAATGACGTTATTTTCCTCATGAAATTAGGCGGGCCATTCAGAATGCCAATCTGAGATGAATGTAGCCCACGGGCCGCAGTTTGCCCATGACTAGGCGAGGTCCTATAGCCTTGATTTGCAACTCATCTACCGCAGAAAGAAACGGAAACCAACTGCGGGAAAATCTTCTGCCAAGTCAATCATGAATCGAAAAAGCGATGTTCCCACAAGTATGTATGGCGTATGACACTTAACTCAACGACAGATATCCGCAAAAGTAAATTTAAAATACACTAGGAAAGTCACGTCTTGATGAGGCATTATCAAACAATAAAATAGATTTAATGAACGTATGATATAAATTACTTACTCAAATGAACATTTAATGAACGTATGATATAAATTACTTACTCAAATGAACATTTAATGAACGTATAATACAAATTACTTACTCAAAGTGTGAAATATCACATCCCCAGAAGCGATCACTCAAAACATCCTGATCAATAATATTTTTCATCTAAAAAAGAAAGAAAGATTTTATTCTTAAATAAATGGCTTCAAGGTACTTTTTGGTAAACATTTTCATGACAAATATTTGATGAAATTTCCTTTATAATATAAATTGTATCCATTGTAAATATTCATTGGTGTTTCATTTTTAAATGTTGTTATTTTTTATCCCCCCACCCCGCAATCAGACAAATTCTACACATGGGAACTAGTTAGGACTACATAAAGACTTTCAGGTATTATGGTGACTGTCGTAAGAATGGTAATTAAGAATGTGTTGTTTTGATGTAAGGAATATTGTGGTACGTTTGCGTCAGTAATCGTGGCTAGCTAAGTTTAAGATAAGACAGATTAAAGACCAGCCTTCCCATTATCCTCCTTTTAGCCTTGTGCCACATTTTTATATTACAGCAAAATAAATATTACTTTCTTCTATTGTATAAATTGTATTCATTGTAAATATTCATTGGGGGCTCTTTTTTTAAATGTTATTACTTTTATTCCCACCAGGACACATTGTACATATGGGAACTAGTTATGATTACATAGAGACTTCGAGGTATTATGGTGACTGAAGTAAGAATGGTAAGAATGTGTTGTTTTGGTTTAAGGAATACTGTGGTATATTTCGGTCAGTAATCGTGGCTAGATAAGTTTAAGATAAGACCGACTGAAGACCAGATGAGGACAAAAATGGTGGCTTGTCCTCGCTAGTATATTTTCCCATATTCTCTCTATACCATAAACTGTATTCATCGTCAATATTCATTGGGGTTCTTTTTTAAATGTTACTATTTTTAACCCTCTCCCACCGTACTCAGACAAATTGTACATATGGAAACTAGTTAGGACTAGATAGAGACTTGAGGTATTATGGTGACTGTAGTAAGAACGTGCTGTTTTGATGTAAAGAATACTGTGCTATATTTGGGTCAGTAATCGTGGCTAGCTAAGTTTAAAATAAGACAAGTTAAAGAAAAGCTTTTCCCTAACCCCTTTTTGGTATTATCAAAATAAATATCACTTTCTTCTATGGTATTAGTTGGAGTTTCATTCTCAAATTTTATTTTATTCACCCCACCCAGACAAATTTTACATATGGAAACTAGTTAGAACTAAATAGAAACTTTGAGATGTTATAGTGGCTCTAATAAGAATGGTAAGTAGGAATGTGTTGTTTTAATGTAAAGAATACTGTGGTATTCTTGCGTCAGTAATCGTGGCGCTAAGTTTAAGACATAGAACACCAGCCTTCCCTTATTGCTCCTTCTGGCCTTGTGCCACATTTTTGTCTTATTCAAAATAGATATCTCTTTCCTCTCTAGTATCTAGACTTTAGAAATTTTAGCGCAGTGCTTGATTGGCGGCAAGGTCTCATTTCTTTAGTTGAAATAGATAATGCAACCGTAAATTCTATGCTAACATTCCCTTCTCTCACACTTCTCGCTTGTGGAACTCAACTTCCGGTATCTTATCTCGCAGTCAACTTTGATCTTCAAAAATTTAAATGCAATATCTATCGCTATCTTCTGTCTTCTTAATTCTTGTTCTTTTATTGTTCTCTCTTTATTGGTGTTTTTTTCTTCCCCCACCTTCTCATATTCTCTCATACGCTTGCGTGTTAATGGCCTTATTGCCTTGCTTGGAGTGAAATGAATAAAAATAAAATATAACTGAATTCTTAAAGCAGGAGGCAGAAAGATTGTTTAGCGGCATATCACCTCCTTATGTGTCCTATACTACCGAAATACTGAATAATTGTATTTTCTTGGTATTATTAGTAATTTTCTTTACAAAAATCTATTGCTAGTATATTTATAACTAAAATGTATTTTTATACATTCATAGTGTTTTGAACCCAGTTTGGGGGTTAACTATTTGCCCACAATTGGGACCCTAACAGGTTCTGCCACTCTGGGTCTGGGTGAACCAAGAAACAACAGCAATTAAAAGGTGGTTCCACGCTCCTCAAAACCTCCAAATCAAAGGCCTTACTTCAGGATGTACCTTAAAGACTATCGAAATAAAATATCTATATATTTCATTAAAATCATTTCGTTTTTATTCAATTAAATACCAAGAATTATTTTAAAATATTCCTAACGAAAGGAATAGATAATTTTATAATAATGTTAATAAAATGAAAGTATGTAAAATACGCTACCACACAACAACGACACAAGAGAGTGATGAAAATGTATTTCATCCTAGCTGCTGCTGCTGTTAAATATTATGCCAGGATGACGTTGAGCCAATGAGCCACCTGGTCCCTCTAGCTTGCCGGAACGTTATAAAATCCTACTGGAAATCATAACTAGAATTCAATGGCGCTGATGTCGCTAACGAGTATATTACAAAAAAAAATGCCATCGATGGTAATACGAGGGTCATTCAATAAATAAGGTGAATTTTTCGGTATAAGGACTTCTAATACAGATAGCTTACTTTTTTTATTTATTTTATTTATTTATTTATTTATTTTTACTTCTTTTTCACATGGATTTAATGTCTTTTGCAGATTAAAAAAAAACTTTGAGAGTTTTGGCGATTAACAAAGATGGCTGACCAAGAAACATGCTCCAGGATTGAACAGCGGTCAGTTATCAAGTTTTTGGTTGCTGAAGGGTGCAAACCAGTTGAAATTCATAGGAGAATATCAACTGTGTATGGTGCCACATGTTTCAGCCAAATAAATGTCTACAAGTGGGCTAAATTGTTTAAAGAAGGACGGAGCAGTGTTGAGGATGAAGACGGGCCTGGGAGGCCTACAGAAGTGAGGTCTCCTGAGGTGATCGAATCAGTCAATGACCTCATTCAGTCTGACAGAAGAACTACTCTGAACTGCTGAGGCAGGTCAAGAAAGACATAAAGAACAAACGCAGGGGTCATCAGTCAGAAGGAGTCATCTTGCATCATGACAACGCAAGGCCTCACACAGCAGCCCAAATGGTGCAGACCATCAACGAGCTGGGCTGGGAACTGCTCCCTCACCCCCTTACAGCCCAGAACTTGCCCCCTTCAGACTTTCACCTGTTTGGTCCCTTGAAAGCGTTCACGAGAGGCACGTAGTTTAAAAGTGACGATGAAGTCAAAAGTGTTGTGAGCGACTGGCTGAGACATCAGTCCAAAGATTTTTACGCTGAGGGAATACGGAAGCTTGTGCACAGATGAGAAAAGTGTGTGACAGTGCTGGGAGACTACGTTGAAAAAAAAAAGGTAAGCTTCTATCTGTATTAGAAGTCCTTATACCGAAAATTTCACCTTATTTATTGAATGACCCTCGTATATTATGTGTATAGAATCAATGGCGTTGAAAATTTATTAACAGCACACCATCGACGACATTGATTTATAACATATATAAAGAAATTCACTTTAAAAATTCCCATTAACGCAGATGTAGCACCGGTCAAGTAGAGACATAAAAAGTACGGCTCTGTTCCATACGTTTAAAAAAAAGATTTACCAGATGAAAACCACAGCAAAACAGAATATACATTAACAGAATATAATATCTTAAACTATTTACATTATTCGGACCATTGTCCTCATCTTTGTCGCCATATTTATTACAACACTCGTTCTTCAGGTGGTTGGAATGTCGAACTGAACCCTTTATTTCGCTCACTGGGGTAGACTGTTCTACTTCCACGTGCCATGTTTAATGGATGTCAGTTATCAGTTATCTCCTATTAATTCCCCTCTCCAAGTTCTTCACTGCCCTAATCGAGTATTGAACTCATACTCTTTGGATCCTGTCACTGGATCTAACCAACACCTTTATCCACTGTGCCATGGGTCCTTGGCACGTGGACCTAGAAGAGTCTACCCCAGTGAACCAAATAAAGGGTTCAGTTCTACATTCCAACCACCTGAAGAAGGACGAGGCATACAACGAATGAAAAGTTGTAATAAATATGGTGACAAAGATGAGGACAATAGTCTGAATAATGTAAATAGTGTACATAATACCTCATCTCAGAAACATAAACAGATACTGAAGGGTCGAAACGTTGTAATAACAATGGCGACAAAGATGAGGACAATAGTCCGAATAATGTAAATAGTGTACATAATACCTCATCTCAGAAACATAAACAGATAATGATATGTTAGGTCTAGAAACAGAACTTGATAAAAAATAAAAGATTTTGGAGAGCGAAAAACGCTCTAGATCAAACGGCAAAGGAATACGGTTATTAAAAAATCTTAAAATAAAAAAAAATATGCAAACTTCTCTCGGAAGAGGTCCGACTGGAGTCATATCAGCGGGCATTATTGTTGTCAAACATCGGAGTTGACGAATATTTCAGATTTAATTTAAGTAATATTATTCAAATAACGACTTGCATTCTCACCCAAATCAAGTGTTTTCCTGATCAAAGCTCGACTGAAGTGTTCAGGATCGAATTTAAAGTTCCAGAGATTAGTAGTGAATTTTTTAGCCAATCCATCTGAAAGTGTTTTCAATGAAGTTTTCTTCCTCGGACAGGAATCAACGGCTACAAATTCTAAGAGCTCTTAAGTAGAGCCCTATTGTTACTATATAAAGATTAAGTAGCGAAGTAATACACTTACCTCGCCGGGCGAAGCGGGCACATACCTGTTTGGAGTGTAAATCCAAAATAGCCAAAGTCGCAAGGGAGCGACGATGGTCGCAAGGAGCGGCCATTTGTAATCGTCTCACTACGCATGCGTGACTATACTCTTTTTAATACTATGAGCAATTGGCATGCGTGATGGGGAGCGAACTCGTTGCGTATGTGTGTGTGTATATATATATATATATATATATATATATGTGTGTGTGTGTGTGTGTGTGTGTGTGTATGTGTATATGTGTGTGTGTGTGTGTGTGTGGAGAAGTTTCGCTGCGAGAGTTGAACCCTGTGGATTTGTTGTGTGACCTGTGAATTTACGTCCCTGGCTTTTGATCTATGACACCCACCCTCACCCCGGATTGTTTTACTTCAGATTATTTTATATATATATATATATATATATATATATATATATAGCGTGTGTAATAAGAAATATATAATGAATAATAAATTATATATATATATATATATATATATATATATATATATATATATATATATATATATATATGCATGTTTCGTTAAAAACGACAGACAAGGTACTACAGTTGAGCTTTTTTATTTAATTTTTTCTTGTGTTCTGACAAGAGCTTTCTTTTCTGGACAAAGAGTGTAAGAACTGTCCGAATGTTCTGTGTTTCCGAGCGCTTTCGGCTATACCTTTAGCCATTATCAAGGATGGTTCGATTATCAGCTTAGTAGAGTGTGTGTGTTCTATGTATGTTCAGTGTGTGGTAGTGATGTTTTAGTTTCCGAATACGGTTAGCACATTGTGGCTTTGTTCATAGTTGATATTGTTAAGAGTTGGCTTTTTCTTTTTTATTATTCCATTATTTTTAGTTTTTTTTTTGCAAGTGGATGCAGTTAATATATTAGTGTTTTCTACTAGTATGTTCCTAATAGTGTCGGGTAAATCTGAGTGTGTGTTTAAATGTGTTCTGATGGAACTGTGATCAGATAGGTGTAATGTAAGACGTCTGGATAAACATGTGGTTGTGTAGCCGATGTAATTATTTATGAGTCCGGTTTGGTGAGGAACGCAGTTCCTTAAAAAGGGCATTTGAACTCATAGATAATGTTCGTTCTTTGTAATTTTGACTTCGTTGGTGTGTTGTTATTTTTTGAGGATAAGGTTGGCCGTCTTAAATTTTTTTTATAATAGATAATAAGTTTGATTTTTTTTATCCGGGTCAATAGGAGTAGTATATTTCTTTATAATATGTATTAGAGCAGATTCATCTTGCTTGTAATTAATATGCATTTGGTTTTTGTAATAAATGTGTATGTGATTTTTAGTTGTGTGTTCGCTATCATTATTACTTGCTTTGGGGAGGAATATTCTAATTTGTTGGTCTATAAGGTAGTTAGGGAAACCGTTGTTAATTAGTGTTTTGTTTAACGTTGTTAAGTTCTTTGAGAAAGAGTAGTCGAGAGGATGAGTTCTGGTGGGCTCTATTTAGAAAGTTTTTTTATTACAGCTATTTTGTACCTAAGTGGACATTCACTTTTTGAAATTAAGGTGGCATGAGTTTTTTGCTGGTGGGTTTTTTGTATAATGATGTAATGAAAGTGTTATTGTTATGTTCAACGAGGATATCTAAGAATGGTAGTTTGTTTTTTTGGCTAAGTTCATATGTAAAATTAAGGACGGAGTTTTTTCTCAAATGTGGTCTTAAGTGTCTCTATTTCTTTAATGTTATCAGCTAAAATGAATATATCATCTACGTAGCGAACATAGATTTTCGGTTTGTGGACCTGTGAAAATATAGTATTTTCTACGTAGGACATATAATAGTTAGAGAAGCATGGACCCAATCGATTTCCCATACTAACACCATTAGTTTGGGTATAAATATTGCCATTATGGTCATAGAAGGGACTTTGGTTGTGCATGCGTGTAGTAATTGTTTTAGGATAGGTGGTTTGATGGATGGCGAAAGGGATGGAATTATTATTGTATATAGAGTTGAGGATAATATCGATAGTTTTGTCAACAGGGACGTTTGTGAATAAGTTTTCAACGTCCAGTGACGCTATTATACCTTGATTTGTTCCATTTGTAGTTTTTAAAATTTGTAGGAATTCGTGGGTGGATGTGATGCTGTAATTGGTAGGTAGGTATGGAGTGATGATATCGTTAAGGAATTTTGATAGCTCGTAGATAGGTGTTGGTATCTGGGAAATAATTGGTCGTAGCGGGTATCCTGGTTTACTGGTATTCGGAAACTAAAACATCACTACCACACACTGAACATACATAGAACACACTCTACTAAGCTGATAATTGAACCATCCTTGATAATGGCTAAAGGTATAGCCGAAAGCGCTCGGAAACACAGAACATTCGGACAGTTCTTACACACTATTTTGTCCAGAAAAAAAAGCTCTTGTCAGAACACAAGAAAAATTAAATAAAAAGCTCAACTGTAGTACCTTGTCTGTCGTTTTTAACGAAACATGCATAAAGGAAGGATTGCTGCCTAAATATAAAATATATATATATATATATATATATATATATATATATATATATATATGCGTATGTCGATAAGAAAAAGATAATTAAAAAAAAAATCAACAAAAAAATTTTTTTTTTTTTTCTCGAAACAATGTACTTACATTCTCACAGAAATCAAGAGTTTTCCTGATGAATGCCGGACTGTTTCGGTCGAAGAGTTCAGGATTGAATGTAAAGTTCCAGAGATTGAATGTGAAATTTGTAGCCAATCCATCTGGAAGAAATCAATAACAGGTTGAAGGAGAATTTTTTTTTTTTTTTTTTTTAGAAATTCAGTACTATTTTTCGCCTAGGTTTCAAGGCTTTCTTTTCTCAGGGAATTTTATTTTTAGATTATTCAAATTAAACAAATTCAATGGTAGATGGATTTCTGGAATAAGGCGTTTTTATTTATATTATGCACGCTCGAAATATCGTCGTTATCTTTGTTGTTATTATCACAACGTTTCGACTGTTGTGTCCTTCGGCCTTGAAGTAGTGCTTGTCGATCTAATTATGAAAGAATAATGGCTTAGTTCAGAAGTTCCCAACCTTTTTTAGACCATGGCTCACTTTGAACTCAGAATTATTCTGTGGTCCATGAAATTATTAACCCTGAATTCAAAAACCGGTACGGAGAGGGTTGGGCTCCGTCAGGCTACCTTGCCCCCAAAACACTACTGCGGCTGCCCTACATGATGAACCCCTAAGACCCTGATGGTTCACAGAATTCATGATCGCGACTTTTAACATCTCCAATTCGAAGTTCACATCTTGGGCATTTTTCTTTTGCTCATATCAATATATTCCGTAATCTTAGTTCATATCTCAAAAAAAAAAAAAAAAAAACATTTGACAGTGATTTGTAGAAACAACTAAATATTAGATTCGAGGAAAGCTTACTAAAAGTTCTCAGCTCAACCAGCTTCTTAAAATAAGTCCAAATACCCAAATAAAATAAGTAGGGGACAAGGTTTCTTTTAAATAATACGTGGTCAATTCAATCAACAGTATTTTTTTCTTTTAACTAATGCTAATCTAATACAAGGCCCAAGAGCCACTCAAGGTAGAGTTCTATTGTGTGGAGTTATATTAGCATAGCAAAGAATAGACAATAGGCATATAGAGATGAAGTAGTCTTTTAGAAGGAACCAGAAACCCAATCCTAAACAGGAAAGGAGGGATAAACCTCTACTCCTATTAAAAAAAACCTGTCTACTCCTACTGAAGGAAGAAAATAAATAACATTTCAGAGTTTAGGAAGAGACGCTAGAAGTATAGAGTTGAAGTAGACTTTAGAAGGAACCGGAAACCCAATCCTAAACAGGAAACAAGGGATAAACCTCTACTCCTGTTCAAAAAACTATCTACACCTACTGGAGGAAGAAAATAAATAAATAACATTTCAGAGTTTAGGTGGAGACGTTAGAAGTATAGAGTTGAAGTAGACTTTAGAAGGAACCGGAAACCCAATCGTAAACAGGAAACAAGGGATAAACCTTTAGTACTCTTCAAAACCGGGAAGGGGGGTGAAACATATGAGTTCATAAGATTTACTTAGTAATAGTGTCAAAGGTCAAAAAGTAAAAATGTTGACAATTCGGATAAACCAAAAAGAATCCATAATGTGTTTACTTAATGTTTAGTTTGTTTGGTTTGGTTAGGTTTGGCTTGGTTTGGTTTGGTTAGGTTAGGTTAGGTTTGGTTTGGTTTGGCTTGGTTTGGTTTGGTTTATCAACCTGAATGGGTTATTTAATGCCGACAATGCCATTTTTATTGCTGGTAATATTTTTTTTCGAAAAATGTATTGTTGGTAATATTTTTCTGTTTCAAAAATGTACTGCTGGTAATACTTTTTCAAACAAGGTATTACTGGTATTAAAATCTATTTTTATACTTTCATAGCGTTTTGACACCTTTTGGAGGTTAACTATTTGCACATACCTGGGACTCTAACAGGTGCTACCACCCCAAGTCAAATTGGACCTGGGAACACCAGAAATTAAATGGGGTGTTCCATGATCCTCAAAACCTCCTGCTCAAATGCCTTGCTGCCGAATGCAGTTTATCGTCTTACCCAGGACAGGCTTACTTAAGGTGAAAGATCTCAACTTAATAAGGAAAGAAAAAAATATTACTGAAGTTACGAAGATCTAGGATTAGAAATAATTCTTAATCTTTTTATCGCTTTTATTACTTTATATCTAGGATGTTCCAATAATCTGGACCGATTTTAAATGTGAATTAAGTTTAAGCGTCTAATGATTTTTTTTTCTTTCAGATTTAACAATTTAAGTCTTTGACAATTTCAACCATGGAAAGATTAACAACCAAACGTTCAGACAGAAATGCATTTCACGCACACGATTTTCAGTTCTTGTGTCAATTGAATTTTGTAAGCGTGTAGAGACAAATCTGTTGTCAAAATTCGCTGTAACGTTGTTGTGGAGAGGTGAAATTCCTGCGCGCGATGACGAATAGAGGGGGTCTGGATTTTCGGCCACATTGTCGTGCACTGCAGCAATGTTTTCAGCTGAACGGCGTAAACGAGCACGCAATGGCGTTTTCACATCTGCCACCGACCCAGTTTGTTTGA